TCACTTGGTCAGTGTCAGGCTCCTCCTATGCATTCCATAGGAGGCTCCTCCTATGCATTCCATAGGAGGCTCCTCCAATGCATTCCATAGGAGGTTCTTAGGAAGGAAGGCCTTTTCTAGGGTTGGTTACAGGTAACATGGCAGTGGCTTGGTAGCCCATTTTACAAAATAGGCTATCAGCTCATATACATTTTTATATAGCGGCTCATTTTGCTAAATAAGCTATTACGAGATAACTATGTGGTGAAGTCCATCTTGCTCATCACATTAAAATGTGTGGACCTCACTATTCTATCTCTTGGTAGCTTATTGAGCAAAATGAGTTGTCACCTCATATCCATCATTCTGAAAGGATAGCACATGATAATCATTTTGTTGTTGTTAGGGGAAAATCAGGCCAAATCAGGAGTTAATAGGCATTAAAATAAGTTTAGGAGGCAAATTAACTAAAAAATTAAGTTATTAGCTAATGAACCAATTTCTTTTTTATCTCTTATTCTTTGATTACCACCATGTAGCGTCATTCTTTCTCAGCCTTTTTTTTTGGTAACTATACTCAGACACGAGATCCTAATTCCAACTTGCATGTCACTGTGTCTCAAGAAGATCATGTCCAAACAATGACTTTTTTCGATTAGCTAGGCTACTGAATTAGTGGGTTTAGATTCGAGTTAGATCCAATATCTTAATTTCGTTTTTGTTCTCGACATGTCAATTATCATTTTCAGATCCAAGACAATAAAAATAGACTTTAGTTAACATTTAATTATCCCTCCTTTTTATATAAAGAAAAATTAATAGTTCCCGAAGTCGTCATGTGGCAATTAGTAAAAAGCCAAAAGTCACCACGTGTCGGTTTGTTAAAGTTTAGATAAGTACTCTACTTTCTAATTAGTTTGAAACTCTAATTGATTCCAAATATATTTTAGGAAGGGATAAGTATTTTGATCCATCAATGTTTCATCAGTATTGAATTTGAAATTCTAATTGATTCTAATTGACATCAATATTCATTAGATTATTTTCTTAGAGATAAATTTTTTTACGACAAATAGTTTATAGAGTTTTTAATTTTTTAAAGGGATAATTTCACATAACTTCTCTGAACTTTTATGGGGTTTCTCACATAATCTTTCTGAACTTTATTTATCTCATATAAGTATAACCCCCTAAACTTCGGGGTGTCTCTCAAAACCCCTTACTCTTTGAACTTATCTTGCCGGACTCTCATAGATGTAATTTGCAAATAAATAAATTTTTTTGATAGAAATAATCTCGAATTTTCTCATTTGTCATCAACATAGTATATATTGCATAGACCAACACATAATAATATTTAAAATTATTAAATGCAAATTCTATTTTGAAGGAAAGCTCACATCAGATAAAGATCCAAATAATTAAATCAAATAAATTAGATCCAGCCGTGCAAGCACGGCGTGACGCTTGTTTCAGCAATTACAAACAAGAGTTTCTCCTGCATTAGAGCTTTTAATGTTTTGAAGAAACTAACTCCTCAAGTAATTAAAATCGTTATTCACTCTCTCAAATATTATTATTTGTTACTTTAAGGGTAAATAACACCAAACCCTCAAGAACCTTTAGCATTTTGCAGTGTGACCCAATAACTTTTAAAATTAATCTAAACCACCCTAAAGCTTTTAGTGTTTTGCAAAGAACACCCAATAGCTTTCAAAATCATAGTATACCCCCATTAACTTTTAGAATTGCAGAAAACCTCCAATAAGTTTCCTCATTTTGCAGATTATACCCATAAATTAGAACAAAAAACATAAAAAAATTTAAAAGGATAATTTTAGCAAAAGGAAAATAAAATAAAAAGACAATGAGGGTTCGTGACTCCAACTTGGGCCCAACCAAAGGGAGAACAATTTTAAATACGAGAGCTTTCTATTTTTATTGTTGAAAAATTTAAAAAAGGTCATGATGAGTATTTTAATAATTTAAGGAGTATTTTGGTCTTTTTAATTTATCAAATTTTACAGATAAGATCCATAAATTAGAGGAAAAAAACATAAAAATATATTTTGAAGGATAACTTCAGCAAAAGGAAATAAAATAAAAGGACAATCAGGGTTGAAGACCCCAAACTGGGCCCGATCAAGAGAAGAACAAATTCTAAAGATGAGAGCTTTCTATTTTTATTGTTGAATATAAAAAAATCATAAATGAGTACTTTAATAATTTAAGGGGCATTATAATCTTTTTAAAGTCATGTGAGTTGCACGTGACTTGTCACTGTCAGCTATAATAGTATAAAGTTTAAAGGGTTTCTACAAAATTTACTGGGGGCTTAGTGTGATTTTGAGAGTTATCAGTAGTTTATTGCAAAATACTAATAGTCCTTTGGGGTTATTGAGGGTTTACTACAAAACACTGAAAAGTTCTGTGGGATTTATAGTGTAATTTAACCTTCTTTTAAATTAGTCCTTCAGTTAGTCACTATGTCTAAATTGCTAATTCAGATGTATTAACTGTAAGCATGCGTATTGAATTTACGTCTCTATCCTCAATTAGTCGCCTCCCCCCAAAATTCCTAATGTTTAAAGAAACGGGCTTAAAAAAAAGAAAAAAGTCTGTATTTAGAATAGCTTACAAGGGGCTTAACTGAAAACTATAACAAAAACTTTTAAGTTGGACGGAACATCATCTCCCAATCAAACTCGACTACAAGGAAATTTGAGGGACTAAATATCAACTTCAACGATTTGCGGGGACAAAGTCCAAATATCAAAAGATTTAAGAGACCAAATATATACTGAATGAAAAGATCCATAAAACTTAAGCGAGGAGCGCTAGCATTCAACCAAGGCAAATGTAACAAGCATCAAGTTCCTAAAGACCTAAAACAATGCAATAATCTTATATAAATAAAAATAAAAATCTCTCACATCGATCCCTCACATTCTACTTCAAACAATCACCAACATCGACAACGCCGTATCAGTACTCGGGAGGAGGGCAGACGAGGCTCGCAGGGTTGAAAGGCAAAACACCGAACAAATCCTGCAGGCACTTGTCGCCGATGTTCAGAATCACGCCGCAGCAGTTGGGCCCGATCCTGAGCCTGAAGGTGAAGATGGATTGAAGGACCTCGGCTGCGCACCCCGGGACGTCCTTTATCGTGCTCCAGCACTCGCCGTTGAGGAACGGGAGCATGAACTTGAGGTCTTCAACGGAGTCGGCGCCTAAGCTTGGCGACGGGGCTTCTTCTGTCGGGGGGAAGGGCTCGAGCTCGAGCTCTTCGAGTGTTGGTTGCAGCGATGGCGGTGGGGTCGCGTTCGTAGCGGCGACGAGGAGGATGAAGACGACGAACAAAGTTGCTGCTGGTTTGGCCATTTTTTGATGTAATTTGTTTGTATTGGATCGATATGGATTGGTGAAGTGGGAGAGTGGGTGGTGAAGTGGGAGAGTGGGTTGTTGGGGTTTATATAGGAGTTGATTGTGTCTGTATTCTTGGAAAGTCTATTAACTAATTAATATAGATTAGTTTTAATTACCTTTTAAAAAAAATTTAATGCTGCGGTTTTACCTGAAAAAGAATTAATGTTTTAGTTTTATTCATTCATGTTTAATTCTGGATTTTTTTTGATTAATTTATGAGAGTTAAGTATAATCAATTAAGTGCCACTAAAAAGTGTAGTGAGGTAAGTTTTAATACTTTTTAATGTCCTCATCAAAGAAAGGAAACTGAACAATACATTTCCCAAAAACTGATGAAATGTAGTAGGAAAATATTGAGTTCATGGAGTAAAAATGTGAGAGAGTCGTGTTGGCTTGTATTTATTGGAGTCCACTTGATCTTTCCATATTTCAAGATGAAAAATTAAGAAGGAAGAAAACATTTACAAAGCAAACGTAAGTACAACAAATATTAATTAATGCATGCATATACTAATTGAATGTGCTGTGTTTCTTGCAGAAAATTAATCTCAAATTCATTGTTTTAATATTTGCATTTTCATTGTATATATGGGAAATGTATTTTCAAATACAATTATGTATGGGTGGTTGCAAAAAGCTGTTAAGTTTTCATATTTAATTTATTAAAGAAAATATATTTATGTTGCACATGTTAATATTTGTTTATCTGTAACTGTAAATCTACCTTTATCTATTGATTTGGAATCCACTAAAAGGGTGTGTGGGAAGACTTATTTTTTTAAACTTTTAAGTTATGCTAGTTTTTAGTGGCTTTTCGTTTTTTTGATAAAAATACTACAAACATTGTTTGAATAGAGTAGTAATTTGTTTGGTCAAACCTAGCTTTTTTAAATGGGCTTACAACCTAGTTTTTCAAAAGCTGGTGTATACCTGCTTTTTAAAATGGGACTTATAATCTAGTTCATTAGGCATTTTACCAAACAGATAAAAAAAGCTAGCTTAAAAAGCTAGTTTGACCAAAAAATAAGACTTCTCAAACACCCTCTAAGTGATGTGACTTTAATTACTGTTTATTTTTCTTTAAATTTTAATGTAAGGATGAAACATTGCTACTGCCAAATTGGATGCATGTGACAAATGGATTATAACCATCAACTAGATAATCAATGGCTGTGATTATGTAGTGGTCCCTCCACTATATTTTTTGTAGTGGAGAGGATCCGAATCCGTGACAAATGCTATAGATAATTTTTTCGTATAAAATGAAATCAAATGCCATTCCTTATTGCTACGGGTGGAAGTTTAATTATTAGATAATTATTTAATAGTATTCAATCATATAATATTCGTTTAAACTAGGATTGAAAATCGTACGTGAAAATAAATAATGTTGTTAAATGAATCAGTTATAAATTCATGTGTTCAGTTTGCTTATAAAAAGTTCGTTTAAAGTTTAGTGCTCCATAATTTATGTAATCACACTGATATTTGATCCTTTCTATATTTTGTCCATTAGACATTTGTACTTAACTAGTATAGTGCACGTGCTTTGCACGAGAGCACACCTGTTTTGTTTTACTAGGAGAGATACACGTGTATTGCACGTGATTATTTGTTTGGTTTATTTCTTTAGTATAACTTGGTTGTAAAAATGTTTCTTTTAAATCTCAACCTGATGATATAATATTATCTGTGAACTTTCTTAATACTTACATTTATGTACATTCAGCTTCCATTTTATGTGTCGTTGTGACCATAAGCAATGCAAGCTACATATTATTGGAAATATTTTTTGCTTATAAACCATGAGCAATGTAAGCTACACATTATTCGAAAAGATTATTCACTCATATAGCAATCCATGAGCAATGTAAGCTACACATTATTCGAAAAGATTATTCACTCATATAGCAATCAATTTCTTCAATGCCTCAAATATAATAATAACAAATGACATAAAATTCTTATGAAGTAAAAAAAGAAAAGTGAAAAAAAAATCTTCTATCTTAATCCCTAATGACTAGAGAATAAAAAAACATATCATCATTTAAGAAAACCTCTCCATAAGTTTGCAATGATTAGACTATTAGGTTGCTCAATTCTTATTATTTTAAAATTAATTCATCAAATCATTGAAATAACTATTACATCTATAATTCTTAAGTTATTTTGATACCAATGTAGGCATCGAAAATTACCTATAGGTCTCCACGAATAACTCAAAGCTAAGAGAAGACGATGAACGTCACCATCTGGTTCACAGAAGCTTGATTGACGTCGACGAACGCTTGAAGTGAATCGGCAAACTATGTGAAGCAACGGAGTTTCAGAATAATAAAAATACGAACTAATCGGGAGCCCCGTGTCACTTACAAAAGACGAAATGCCCTTCGTGTCTCATTTATTCCACAGATGATCTAATCATTGCAGCTTATAGAACTCTTCGTCAGCTTTCCAACCCACTTTGAATCGCTCAAATCCGAGTTCGGACGAAGAAGTTACGGCGGAAATGAACAAGTGTACATAACACGGCGTCTCAGCCTGAATGAGACACCCAACGCACTTTGAATCGCTCAAATCCGAGTTCGGACGAAGAAGTTACGGCGGAAATGAACAAGTGTACATAACACGGCGTCTCAGCCTGAATGAGACACCCCGAGGTGTCTCGGCCCACCCGAGACACCCCAGGGTGTCTCGGCCAAAGCCGAGACACCCCAAGGTGTCTCGGCCAAAGCCGAGACACCCTAGGGTGTCTCGGATCAGTTTGAGACACCCTAGGGTGTCTCGGCCCAGTTTGAGACACCCTAGGGTGTTTCAGCAATTGCAAACAAGAGTTTCTCCTGCATTAGTCCTTTAAAGCTTTAACGTTTTGAAGAAACTAACTCCTCAAGTAATTAAAATCGTTATTCACTCTCTCAAATATTATTATTTGTTAATTTAAGGGTAAATAACACCAAACCCTCAAGAACCTTTAGCAATTTGCAGTGTGACCCAATAACTTTTAAAATTAATCTAAACCATCCTAAAGCTTTTAGTGTTTGCAAAGAACACCCAATAGCTTTCAAAATCATAGTATATACCCACTTTTAGAATTGTAGAAAACCTCTAATAAGTTTCCTCATTTTGTAGATTATAACCATAAATTAGAAAAAAACATAAAAAAAACTTAAAAGGATAATTTTAGCAAAAGGAAAATAAAATAAAAAGACAATCAGGGTTCGTGACCCCAACTTGGGCCCAAACAAAAGGAGAACAATTCTAAAGACGAGAGCTTTCTATTTTAATTGTTGAAAATATAAAAAGGTCATGATGATTATTTTAATAATTTAAGGAGTATTTTGGTCTTAATTTTTAATTTATCAAATTTTGTAGATAAGATCCATAAATTAGAGCAAAAAAAAACATAAAAAGATAATTTGAAGGATAAATTTAGCAAAAGGAAAAAAAAGACAATTAGGGTTCAAGACCCCAAATTGGGCCCGATCAAGAGAAGAACAAATTCTAAAGATGAGATCTTTCTATTTTTATTGTTGAATATAAAAAGATCATAAATGAGTACTTGAATAATTTAAGGAAGTCATGTGAGTTGCACGTGTCCTGTCAGATATAATAGTATAAAGTTTGGAGGGTTTCTACAAAACTTACTGGGGGCTTAGTGTGATTTTGAGAGTTATCAGTAGTTTATTGCAAAATACTAATAGTCCTTTGGGGTTATTGAGGGTTTACTACAAAACACTGAAAAGTTCTGTGGGATTTATAGTGTAATTTAACCTTCTTTTAAATTAGTCATTCAGTTAGTCACTATGTCTAAATTGCTAATTCAAATGTATTAACTGTAAGCATGCGTATTGAATTATGTCTCTATCCTCAATTAGTCGCCTCCCCCCAAAATTCCTAATGTCTAAAGAAACGGGCTTAAAAAAAAAGAAAAAAGTCTGTATTTAGAATAGCTTACAAGGGGCTTAACTGAAAACTATAACAAAAACTTTTAAGTTGGACGGAACATCATCTCCCAATCAAACTCGACTACAAGGAAATTTGAGGGACTAAATATCAACTTCAATGATTTGGGGGGACAAATTCCAAATATCAAAAGATTTAAGAGACCAAATATATACCGAATGAAAAGATCCATAAAACTTAAGCGAGGAGCGCTAGCATTCAACCAAGGCAAATGTAACATGCATCAAGTTCCTAAAGACCTAAAACAATGCAATAATCCTATATAAAAATAAAAATCTCTCACATCGATCCCTCACATTCTACTTCAAACAATCACCAACAACGACAACACCGTATCAGTACTCGGGAGGAGGGCAGACGAGGCTCGCAGGGTTGAAAGGCAAAACACCGAACAAATCATGCAGGCACTTATCGCCGATGTTCAGAATAACGCCGCAGCAGTTGGGCCCGATCCTGAGCCTGAAGGTGAAGATGGATTGAAGGACCTCGGCTGCGCACCCCGGGACGTCCTTTATCGTGCCCCAACACTCGCCGTTGAGGAACGGGAGCATGAACTTGAGGTCTTCAACGGAGTCGGCGCCTAAGCTTGGCGACGGGGCTTCTTCTGTCGGGGGGAAGGGCTCGAGCTCGAGCTCTTCGAGTGTTGGTTGCAGCGATGGCGGTGGGGTCGCGTTCGTAGCGGCGACGAGGAGGATGAAGACGGCGAACAAAGTTGCTGCTGGTTTGGCCATTTTTGATGTAATTTGTTTGTATTGGATCGATATGGATTGGTGAAGTGGGAGAGTGGGTGGTGAAGTGGGAGAGTGGGTTGTTGGGGTTTATATAGGAGTTGATTGTGTCTTTGTTCTTGGAAAGTCTATTAACTAATTAATATAGATTAGTTTTAATTACCTTTAAAAAAAGTTAATGCTGCGGTTTTACCTGAAAAAGAATTAATGTTTTAGTTTTATTCATTCATGTATAAATCTGGATTTATTTTGGATTTATGAGAG